ACTCTCCTCAGGCCCTTTAGACCCAGAGGAGGAGGGTGGCTTGTGGCGGTGGGGAGCATCGGGCTCTCAGAACTGCCTGCAAAGCTGGAGCCCCGGGCTGCACACCTGGCGTGTGTTTGCAGGTGCGCTCACTTCGCAGTGTGTCTGTGCCTCATGCACACACACGGGAGGGATGTTTGGGCATGCATTTGTGCCCAACGGTGTGCACTGGGGGGGGGGGCATGCATGAGTGCATGTGTGTGCACGCAAGCACCTCTGCCCCTGCTTGTACATGCATGTGGCTCTGTGGGTTTGCAGGGCTGTATGTGCAGTTGCATGTACACATAGGGGCAGGAAAACATGCCTGAGAGCATGGCTGTGCGTGACTGCGCGTGCGGCCATCAGTACAAGCATGCACGCGTGTGTCCATGCGGAGGAGTGCGAATGGTTCAGGGGCTTCCTGGGACTGCAGCAAAGCCCCTGGGTAAGCCCTGCCCTTCCTGTGCTGCTGTATTTCATGCAGGAAGGGGCAAACAGAGCAGCCCCTTCATGAAATCATGAAGGGTGTGGACCAAGGCTCGTTATCAGAGCTGCAGCCCTGGGGGCTTGTCCCCCTCTTGGCTGAAGGTCTCAGCCTGAGCAATGCACAAGGTGTTTCCCACCCTCCGGGACAGCTGTATCCCTAGGGTGCATGGATCCCATTGCATCAAACTGCTCCCCCGGGCTTCAGTGCTTCCCGGGCACCAAGGGCTCAATCAGCTTATGGGCCAGTGTAGTGCTGATGGCACGTGAGCTTGGGAACAAACAGCAGCTCCCACCTGCACGCCCCTGTGAGCAGGGGTTCCCTGTGCAGCCGGTCTCCAGCGGCCCACGTGAGCTACCAGATCGAATCCGGAATGAAGCTACATGGGGAGCAAGGGCAGCAGGTGCCCGCTGTCTGGTGGGAACAGGCACTGATGGCAGTGGCTATCCCAGGGGAGCTGGTCATCTGTCCATCCTGTGTCCCAGGATCAGTGACTCCGGTGTCAACGTGCCGCGTGTTTAGCCCCACTTGATAATCCTCCACGCTATCCCATCAGCCAAGCTCTCCAGCCTCGCAGCACAGACCTCCCAGGCGACCGCTAAAGGAGTCGCCCCGCCATCTGGCAGTCGTAAGCTGTTATCCTTTCACGGGCCGGCCCAGCAAGTTATCTCACTCCGTTTGCCCAGCTTCCCCCCCAGCCAGCCCTAAATCAAGCCATCTGCGGTTTCTCCGGCGTGGTCCCCTGCCAGGGGCTGCGATTTGCGGAAAGTCTGAGGTAGATGGGACGAGGCGTTCTGGAGATAGCAGCGTTGTTGTGAGGGAGGGGAAAAAAACAAACCCAAACCCCACCGTGTTCTGGTTTCTCGGCAGCTCCCTCCTGTCTCTCAGCCCAGCCTGGCTCCGGGAGCGCCTGGCTCGGAGCCCCCTGGTCCGTCGCGGCCCTGGCTTCGGGGCTGAGGCGATGCTGCGATGGAGCTGGAGGGATGATGGATGAGCCGGCACAGAGCTGGGAACGCTGATGGATGGAGGCAGAGACGGCCCTTGGGGCACCGCAGCTGGCCGCTCCGCCCCAGCCCAAACCACCGTCCCATGGGGAAGGAGCCGGCCTTTCCTGGCTTCTCCTTCCACCGCAAGGCTCATGTCGTGTTGATCCCTGGACTGAGCTGGGGGTAATAAACCCACCACGAGGCTGGATCCTGGGGCTCTTGGAGGAGCTGAGTTGGCTCAGATGCACGGTGCAGCTATTGACCCGTCCTACGTTCCCTGGGGAGCCTTTGGCGCATCGCTGGGTCTGTCTACACCAGGTCCCGGGGCAGGGTGCTCTCTGCCCGCTGGCTCCGGGGGCATGCAGCAAGGAGGAGGGGGAGAGGCTGTCTGTGCACAGCACGGCCTGATCTCAGCAAGGCTTGTGCCTTGCTTCCCCGCAAGGAAAGTGCAGGGGGAACAGGCTGCGGTCTGGCACCCCGCGGAGAGGGAGGAGAAGTCGGCAGGGCTGAGCAACATCCTGGCAGCCCCCAATGAGGAGTGCGGCCACCCCAGGCAGTGCGGGGAGGATGATCGAATCGGTCCTGTCGCAGCCCAGCGAGAAGCCGTCTTTGCAGCCCAGCAAGATACGTGACTCCTGTCTGTTGTGGCAACAAGCTCCCTGCGCCGAGCTGTAAACACGGGGGTACTAGCATCCCCGTGGCCTCCCTCCGCTCCGTGGCAGGTCATCCTGCCGGGGATGGAAGCCAGAAGCCGGCCAGGTCCTTCCACGTGGTCCCCGCTCCTCGTTGGAGCCAAGCGGCCTCGCTGCACTTCGGAGCCATCTGAACAGGCGCTTCGGGCCAGGGCAGGCCTGACACAGCCAGGACGTGTGAGGCTGAGCCGCTCCGTGGCTGGGTTTGGCTCTGCCCTGTCCTGGCCCCGGGCTGCTCGGGAAAGGGGCTGGGGATGCAGCCCCAGGCAGAGAAGAGAGCTCGGAGCCCGGATGCAGAGCAAAGCTTTGCTGCCCCCGTCCTCGTGAAAGTGCCCCCCACGTGTCTGAGCATTTGGGGGGGGGGAGACAGAAAGTATGTGTGTGTGTGTGTGTGTGTGTGTGTGTGTGTGCGCGCACGTGCATGCATGTGCAGTGGTATTTGTGTGTGCATGGGTGTGTGACTGTGCATACATAGCCGTGTGTGTGCAAGGAGGGGTGCGTGCGTACATGGAAGTGTGTGCAGGGGTGTGCATGTGTGTGCACATATATGGGAGTATATGTGCAGGGAGTGTGTGTACATGGGAATGTGTGTGCATGGATGTGTGTGTACATGGGACTCTGTACAGGCGCGCGTGTGTGTGTGTGTGTGTGTGCACATACATAGGAGTGTGTGCAGGTAGGTGTGCACATACGTGGGCATATGTGTACATGGGAGAGTGTGTGCAAAGGGGTGTGTGTGTACATGGGAGTGTCTTCAGGGGTGCACCTGCATGTGTGTGCATACACAGAAGTCGGGGGGGTTGTACGTGCATACATGGGAGCATGTTCAGGGATGTGTGTGTATGCACATGCATGGGGGTGTGTGCAGGGGGGTGCTTGTATGCGCGTGTGCATGGGGAGTGTGTGTGCATATATGGGAGTGTGTTCAGGGATGTGTGTGTGCATACATGGGATTGTGTGTACATGTGTATGTGTACATGACAGCGTGAGTGTGCATGGGCGTGAGCATGTGTCTGCAAAGGTATACACCTATGCGTGTGTATGTATGTTGGGACCTTGGCTCTTGGCACTACGGCTGCTCTGCTTGTTCGGATGTCTCCGTGCCAGGGCTGCCTCGGGCACACCGCGGCCTGGTTTGCAGGGAGGCCGAGCACAACCTGGCTCGTGCCCTCAGCCACGGTGGGGAAGGCGCCCGCAGAGGTGGCACCCAGCAGCTGGGTGCTCGGTTACAACCACAGAGAGGGGCAGTCCCTGGCCAGGTGTTCACACACATCTGCTCAGACCCTACAGCTCACCTCACCCCCAGTGACGCCCGGACCCCAGCAGCACCCTACAGCCGGTTAAACCCACCGGCAGCCAGCACCCAAGCAGGCGTCCAGCTAGGACATGGCCTGTCACTCCTTGCTCTTAGCCCCGCGTGGTAGAGAGAAACAGCCATCCATGCCCAAGGACAGTACCATGCATCACGGCTTTGCAAGCAACCAAACCCTCCCAGCCAAGGCCTGGAGGGATCTGGACCCCCCTGGCAGAGCTGCATGCTGCTACCTTCCTCTGGCAAGGCCGACCAGGCTGGTGAGGACCCTCTGCTGCCCTCCCAGCCCTGTGCTCATCCCAGCCCCTGAAGGGCCTGCAGAAAGCGGGCTGTGCCAAAGACCCATGACTGTAGACTGGTGATCCTCAACCGGGGTGATGCAGCATGGGTGCTAGGTTGAAATGCTCCATTCCCCCGTGGTTCAAGTTTAGGGAGGCTTCCTGGGATGTGGTATCAGCCCTGCCAGTAGCTTTTAGCTTCTCCCTCCTTCTATCAGCTCTGCATCAGTGGCAACAAATGGCCGAAGTCCTAAACGCACCATTCGCTGGTTAAATGCTTGCGGTGTTAGGCCAGTGGTTCTCAACGGGGGAGCCATGAAATTCGGAAACGATGAGGAAGGAGTGCCTTTTACCTGAGAAAGTTGAGATCCACTGGCCTAGACACAAGGGTCCCGAGTCTGGAATATACAGATGTGCGAGAGCCACGCGTGGGTCCGGCAGAAGGTGCTAGCACTTGCATAGGAGGGCCGGCAAAAAGATCAGGGGACTGGAGCCATGGTCAGACCAGGAGAGACAAAAAAGGCTCGTCCGTTTAGAAAAGAGAAGGTTATGGGGGGTAGGATAGGGGTTAGACCGACACCATATTTGGGGTCAGAAAGGGATTTTCACCCCTGCTCAGATTAGTACAGGTTGGGGAGGTTTTATCTTCCTCTGCAGCAGGGGCATGGCCCTTGAGCATCTATTAACCACGTTTCCAACAGCAGGACATTGCCCACCGTGGTCCTCCTGCTTTCCCCAGGGCACGGTCGGGTGTGATGTCTGGTGTGGTGTCAGGGATGACACTAATTTTACTAAAAGGTTGGACAATGGGTTTGTCTGGGCTGGTTTGGGCAGGGCTGATCCTGCCTCAGGACTAGATGCGACCCCGTTGGACCCTTCCAGCCCCGCTGCTCTGGGATTTCTATACTTCCTATTAATGGCTGCTGAACAAAACAGCTGGAGGCGTTTCCTCTGGCATCTCTAAACCAAGCACAGCGGGTGCCAGAGAGGGTGTTGAATGGGGGATAGATCACTAGTGAGGTATCCAGTGCCATGCTGTCCCAGTCTAGAGCATCCCTTCCTACCAGTGCCACAGACAGGCTGCTGGGCTGCACAGACCATTGCTCTGACCCAGTGTGACCCTGCTGATGTTCGGGATGCTCAGGCCCCAGCGCTGGGGTCCAGCAGGGAGGGAAGCTGGGGGTGCTCCTGGGACCCCTGTATGGTCTGACTCCTCTGTCTCCCCTGCAGTGTCCCGGCCGCAGAGCTCCCCCGAGGACCTGAAGGCGCTCCTGGGCAACGTGAACCGCCTGAACGAGAGCTTCCGGGACCTGCAGCTCAAACTGCTGCAGATGCCGCTCAAAGGCGACCTCCTGGACCACATCTGGCGGCTGCAGGACGTGCTGCAGAACCACTCAGACTCCCTCTTCCTGATGACGGGCTCCTTGCAGAAGCTGGAGGGGCTGCTGTGGAGCTTGCAGAGCCAGGCCAGCCAGACGGACCAGGCTGTGTCTGGCCTCCAGGACAGCCTGAACCAGCAGAGCGACTTGGCCCAGCTGGAGATGTACAAGCTGTTGGTGGAAGGCAACAGCAGCCGGTTGCTGTTGCAGCACCACGGCAGGCTCCTGACGCACCTGGCCGCGCAGGTGGAGAGCCTGAGCGGGCAGCTGAGCGAGGTGACCCAGGAGGTGGGCACCCTCAACCGCACCTTCGCCTACGACGTGGGCATCCACCACACCCGCATCCAGGACCTGCAGGTGCTGATCAGCAATGCCACCGAGGACGCCCGGCACATGCGCCTCGTGCACATCGCCATGGAGCGGCAGCTGAAGCACGAGCTGGCCATCCTCAACAACGTCACCGAGGACCTGCGGCTCAAGGACTGGGAGCACTCCCTCGCCCTCAGGAACATCTCCATCCTTCGGGGTAAGGGCGTGTGGTAGCAGGGCTCGGAGGGGGAGGCTAGGGGATACAGCAGATCCCTGAGGCCGGCAACTCGAGCTGGTGGCAGGAAGCTGGGCTTGGTGTGGGGATATCATCCAGGGACTGGACCAGCCAGGACTGCTTGGTGGGGGAAGGTGCTGGAGGTGTCCAAAATATTAAATAGCGCAGGGTCACAGGAAAGTCAGGCTGGAAGCGACCTCACGGGGGTCACCTAGTCTGGCCCCTTGCCTCAGGCAGGATCAGCCCTGACTAAACCATGCCAGCCACGTGTCTGCCCAAAAGTGCTCTTGGAAACATTCAATGTCCACCGTGTCTCTGGGCAGCCTGTTCCCATGTCAGAGCCACAAAGTCCCTCCTCATCTCCAGCCTCAGTTTCCCCTGCTGCAGCTTGAGCCCATTGCTCCAAGTCCTGCCTGCTACAGTCGCAGAGGAAAACCCAGCTCCATCCTCTCTGTCATCACCTCTCAAGTATTTGAAGCCTCCCTCCTAGGTGTTGACTGCAGCCCAGGTGGAGATGGGAACTGGGCTGTGCCAATGCTCCTGCTGGCACCAACCCCAGAGGGTCCTGGCTGGAGGGTCTTGCCCCTGCGCTCAGGGTCAGACCGATGCTGCATTTGGGGTCAGGAAGGAATTGCCCTCCCTGGTCAGACTGTGCAGACATGGTGGGGTTTTGCATTACTCTGTAGTCGGGGCACAGCCTGGGATCTCTTGAGCATCTATTAACAACCTTTGCAGCAGCAGGACATTGGTGTCGTGGTCCCCCTGCTTTCCCCGGGGCAGGTTCGGGTTCGATGCCTGGTGCTGTATCAAGGGTGACTATAGTTTTGCTCAGAGGTCAGCCACTGGATGTGTCTGGGCTGGTTTGCACAGGGCTGACCCTGCCCCAGGCAGGGGTTGGATTAGATGGGACCTCTGCAGCGCTCCCTGCCAGCCCCACGGCTCTGGGATGCTGTGACTCTGACTGTTATCAAACCTCCCCCCATCCCAGCCTCCTCTGAGTAAATTGGTGCTGTTCTCCACCTCACATTACCAAAATGCAGGGATGTACCATGAAACTACAAGGGAGCAGGTTTAAAGCTCCCCAGAGGCTGTTCTGTATCACCCAGCATGTCATTCACCCATGGCACTCCCTGCCACAGGACGTGGCGGTGGCTGGTAGCTTACCTGCGTCCTAGTGGGGATTGGACCGAGGGCCATCAGGAGGTGTCGAACAGGGGAGATAGGCAACAGCGTCTGGCTCGAGTGGTCAAAGTTGCACAGTGGGAAGCTCCGGCCATGCCCTGTTCACCTGCCCGGACGCCCCATTGCCTCTACAGCCCGTGCATCTCCAGATTTGCCCACCGTGGCCTGCATCTGCCTCCGTATGAAGGGTGTGCTGCCGGGAAAAGCAGGGCCAGCTCCTGAGGCTCTTCTGGGGCCTCCAGGCCTTGCAGTCCCCGAGATCGTCACCCTCGGGAGGGGGCTGCCCCCATAGGAGAGGGGCATGGGCTGGGTTATCCGTAAGGCAGGGCGTGCGGCATTCAGCATTCAACACCTCTGCCTCACCCTTGGTTGCTGGCAGGATGGCGGGGGGATGCAAAACAGCCTGGGAGCATTGGTGAGGAGCGTGTCCAGAGCCAAGTCCTCCCAGCCAGAGCTTCGCAGGGCAGGGTGGGAGCTCTGAATCCCCCTGGCACCCCTGGGCCAAAGGAGGTGGGAATGCCACGAGGCAGGAATAGGGGCAGAGCGCTGTCTACACTAGGGCTCCCATCAGTGTGAGTTGCCTGCTCCACTTCCCCCGTGTCCCGTGTTCAGGCTTTTTCTTCCCTCCACTAATGAGAACAAAGCTGAGGCTGCAGGGCCCCAAGGGGCCTGTCCAAGCCACCCCAAGGCATGCGCTGTGCACAACGCCCCGATAAGAGAGATGCCAGGGGCGCACACCCTCCATCGAGCTCTCCAGCAAAACCAGGGGTGATCCCTTTGCCACATCTCAGTTGAGAAGCAAAATAGAACTAGAAACCCTGCTTCAAAGTCCCTTACTAAGCATCGTCGCACGGTCCCCTCTACACCAGGGGCAACCCTGCAGGCCCCCTTGGGCTGAGCCCTCACCCTGGCCCTGGAGACGGCTGCGAGCGCATCTCGGGCAGGATGCAGGTCCTGCCCACGCGTGCCCCACTGCTCCGGTGAGAACAGCTGGAAAGCACAGCTGGCCCTCCCCGGAGAGGCCTCGTGCCGATGGATAGCTGCAGCGTGAGCGTGCTCTTGGCAGGCTCCATCCCTGTCTCTCCCTTTCCCCACGCCCTGTTTACGGGGCCGGCCGCGAGCCAATTGATTTATGAGCCCCATGCCCCTGCGGGCTTCGTCCTGCTCTGTGCGTTCCCAGCCATCCCTAGGGGGTTTCTAGCTGCTTTGAGAGGGACTTTGCACTGCTCAGAGAGCCAGGGCCACAGGGCATCAAGGCAGCAAGGAGGGGAAGGAAGCCAGCATGGCCCTCTGGACACGGGGAGGTGGAGGGAGGATGTTCCAGCTAATCCCAAGCACCTTGCACAGAGCAGGCCCACCCCCAGCCAGCCGGCAGCAGAGCAGGAGGTTAATTAACTGGCCTTAAATAATAACGGAGTGATGAATGAGAGCACTCAGCGTCGGCAGCTGATCTGCTCTGGCTCGCGCAGCGGCGCGGGGCTCGTGGGGTGGAAATCCTGGGGCTGGGCTGGAGGTCAGGCTTGCTCCATCCCAGCTGGCTGTATCTGTGGGCTTCAACACTCAGGTCCTCGCTGGGGTTTTCTTTGTACGGCACCTAGCGCAGTGGGTCCCAGATGCTGGCTGCTGCCACACTAGACAGGAGGGTCAGTCCCATCCTTCAGAGGCGATGCACTGGTCCAGGGGTGAAGCTGGCCTGGGGGTTTCCTAGGTTAGCTCAAGCCTGCTCTTTCCACAGGGTGCCTCTGCTGTGCTGGTCCCAGACCCAACACAGTTCTGCCCGGGACCCCCCTTGCACCTCCCTGCCCGGGACCCCCAGCCTGCAACCTCCCTCCACTATTCCTGCCCTGGTATAACCCCTTTACCCTGCTTTGGGCTGGTGTCTGTAGGAGTCGGTCTGTCCTCTCCCGAGCTAGCAGCTCCCATCTTGATTGGAGCATTATTCACTCCTCACCGTCGTTCACGGTGACAGGCTTTCATGGAAAACACAGAGCCATGGGGCTGGCGGGGAGCTGCGGGGGTCACATCTCGCCCAACCTCTGCCTGGGGCTGGATCAGCCCTGTGCAAACCAGCCCAGACAAACCCGGTGTCTGACCTCTGAGCAACACGACACAGTTGCCCCCGATGCAGCAGCAGGCATCGCACCGGACCCTTCCCCAGGGAAAGCATTGGCGCCACTGCAGCCAACGTCCTGCTTCTATAAAAGGTTGTTAATATATGTGCAAGAGATCCCAGGCAGAGGTTGTGCCCCTGCTACATAGGAAGGCAATCCCCCCCAGTCTGACCAGGGCAACATCCCTTCCTGACCCCAAATGCAGCATCGGTCTGACCTTGAGCCAAGACCCAGTGGGGTTGGTGCCAGCAGGAGCATGGGCACAGCCCAGTCTGCATCCCCAATCTGAGCTGCAGCAGCACCCAGCACCTCTGCGGGAGGCTTAAACCCCCCCTGATGCATGGTGCAAAAAAGGTGCAGGGGGCAGTCAGGATTCCCTCCCAGCCCCATGTGGCAAGAGCGACCAGGCTATTTCCCAGCTTGCCTGTAACATGGGGCCATATATAGCTTTAGGGTACAGTCGCTGCACAAGTCCCAGCCATGCTGGAGCCGGCTCCGTGCAGGAGCCCTGTGGCCACGGGGCAGTTCGGGGCAGTATCTCTGCACATCTCCCCACTCCAAATCCCTTCCGTTGGGACGCCGCAAGGGGAAGAGACTTTGCAGGACAGGGACACGCGGATTAAGTGTGAAACGGAGCGCTCCACCTGCAACGCTAACCTCCCACCAAAGCAACAGGGTCCATCCGAGACAAGGCTGGGATGGGTGGGAAAAGCAGGGGGCTGACAAGTGACCCCCAAGTTGAATGCAGGAATCATCAATTCTGCACCTTTACCAACCGAGTTGGGATCTCTTTAAAAAACACAGTTAGTTTGCAAAGGCTTGTCTTCCCCAAACCCAGGCTGATTGACATGAGATCACCCTCCTTTCCGTCTGGGGTCCTGCATTGGCCATTCCCTGATTTTGGCTGTCAGGACGACAGCCTCCGAGGACGCAGGGCAGCTCGTTACCGTTCATAAAGGTTGGCGCCACTTTGATCTTCTTCCAAGCTGCTGGACCTCCGCCAGCGTTTCTAGACTGACTGAAAACTAGCATCAGCTCTTGGATGAAAATGATGCAGAGCAGCTGATTTGAAAGGTCCAGCTTTAGTAGCAATTGCATAACGCCCTGCGTCGTCAGTGCAAGAATGGAAAGTATTCTGTTTTATCGGCATCATCCAGGAACACATCATCTGGCTTTTTTCCAACTAGAGGATAGAAATAGCTATTGAATACTTACTGCTATTCTGCATGATTACTGCTTATTTTAGTCTAGAAATAACAAATACCTGCATTTTTGCCCAGATATAGTTTTTAAAACTTCTCGGTGCTCTTACCTGTTCAGGCCATAGATTTTCCTTGTGTTCTTTTGCTTCCCTTATCAGTTTTCTACAGTTCCCTGCTTCCAGTTTATATGAATTACTAGCAACTTCCCCTTTCTTCCAGTACTTTTATCTTAAAAAATTAAGGTTGAAGGGACCTCGGGAGGTCACATCTAGTCGAACCCCCCTGCTCCAAGCAGGACCAGCCCCAACTACATCATCCCAGCCAGGGCTTTGTCTAGCCAGGGCTTTAAAATCTCCAAGGATGGAGAATCATCATCATCATCTGACACCACTTCACCTTCAAGCAGGCTGGTGTGTATGCACTGCAGCCTTGTTCGTAATTGTGAAGCTGTGGATTTTGAGACTTCTGGTACAATGTTTTTATCATCCCTAGTCATCCAGTTTGATGCTGTCTGCCAACCGATTGAGCTCATAATTGCTCTCAGTTTTGTGAAACTGGACCTTCTGAAGGGCCAAGTGAATATGGCTGGTTTGGACGTTATTTGGAGGTCACTTGGAGGTTTCCATAGCAACCTTTCAAAACCTTGGCTTTCCACTCAGATGTGGGCCAACAAGAAATGTTGAAACATTGACGTTTCCCACCGGACGGGATCTGCTGTCCGATCCTTGTGGGTTTCCATGCCAGGGTCACGGTGAGATTTTTCTAGCCTGGGATGCTCAGGAGTTTGCCCACCGGTTCCTATAGGTCGGGGTGGCCAACCCATGGCACGCGTGCTACAAATGGCACAGGCCGCTTCTATGCGTGGCACACGGCTGATCAGGGAGGGGACAAGCAGTGCAACGGCAGGTAGGGCTGGGAGCAGAAAGCAGAGCAGCAGAGTGACAAAAGAGCACAGGCAGGGAATGGAAAGCAGAACAGCAGATCGGGCAGGGGAGGGGGACCATAGTGGCACTCTGGGAGGGCGCAGGGCTGATTGTTGATGCTCTCACTATGGAGGTTGGCTCTGCTCTGAAGGAAGGGGGCCACTAAACCCCTGTGTGCCCCCTCTTTTCTTCCAGGGCCTCCAGGACCAAAAGGAGACCAAGGCAATGAAGGGATGGAGGGTGAGCCCGGTGTTCCTGGCTTGCCTGGACTGAGAGGTAAGGGGCCGTGTGCGAGGTGCGGAGCCGTACATGAGCCTGGTGCAACCAAGGGAAAGACTCCCCTGGGCTTTGTCTCAGGCCAGGAGCCTGCTGCTGGCATCTGCAAAGCCTTGGGAACAGGAGCAAGGCAGGGGGGACTGTGGGGCCCTTCCCTTGCTGCTTCCCCAGTGCATGTCCAAGCTAGGGTTACGTTACTCCAGCAGCAAAGCCTCTGCTCCTTCCCTTCGACTGGCCCATAAGTCAAGTGTGCATGGCTTGGCTGGAGCCACGTCGTGTTTAGAGGCCACGTAGCCTAGGCCCCAGCCTCGGAGGTCAAGCAGCTAGGGTCTTTGTCCTGGCTGAGGGGAGCCTTGGGGTCATCCATCCTGGCTCCGACACACACAAGGACCCATGGCTTCGTCTGCTCATCCTACCCCAGGCAGCTCCTCTCCCAGGGCTCAGGGACCGTTCTCCTGCACCCCAAGCTCCTCGGGCATCTTGGACCCGAGGTGCATGCGCTTAGGAGCACCCCCAGCTCTGTGCTGACTCTTGCAAGCCAGAGCAGTGGGGTTGGAGACCTCATCCTCCTTATCGCCCTCCTGTTTGGGAGATAGATCAGGCGGGGTTGTTTGTGAGCGCAGGGGCTGGACCCAGCGACCCCGGAGATCCATCGCAGCCCCTGCCTCCTGCCCCATGCTCAGCAGCAAAGGGAGGGTGGGTGTCTGCCCCCTCTCTCCCGGTCCTTGGCTTCAACTTCTTCCCCTCTCCCAAGCCTCCTTCCTTTCCCAGGGGAGCGTTTCTATTGGAGCCAACTGGGCAGCCGATCACCACGCGCTCCTTTCCCCAAACGCTCCCGGCGCAGGTTGATGTAGGAATTGAGCTTGGCTGCAAACCAGATGGCTTGGGTGCAGAGGCTTTGCCCCAGCAGCTGCTTTCCAACACCCCACACTGCTGTCTCCGGCTCCCGTGGAGGAAGTGGGGGTGGTTGTGCCCGAGGGATGCAGCACAGGGGGGTCCGTATGCCCCAGCGGCAATGGCAGAGCTCCTCGGGCTTCTGGGTCAGCACAGCTTGCTGGGCACAGGGGAGACCCCCCTGGCTTGGCCACTACCCGTGCCCGCAAAGGAGGCTTCCCCCCAGCCCCAAGCCAGCTGGCTGAGAGCTGCAGCCACCAAATGGCTCAGCTTGGGGAGGAAAGAGCGGGGCAGCCCCGGTCCTGCTGCCAGCATGTGGTTCATGCTGCATGGACTCAGCGCCTGTCATTCCTTCCCCTTCCAGGGATGCCCGGGGAGAGAGGGCCTTCAGGACCACGTGGCCTCAAAGGCGACCAAGGCGACCTCGGCCCGCCCGGCCTCACCGGGATGCGGGGACTCAAAGGTACGGATGTGCCCCCCCTCTCCCCTCCAGCACAGCTGCATCCCTCCCTCTCCGTCATCTGCTCCCTCCCCATCACTGCCCCCCTGGAGACGCCAGGACCCTCCTCTGGGCCGTGCTGCCTGTGGGCAGGGGCGGTCGGAGGGTGCAGCTGGCCACAAGCAGGCTCTGGGCAGGTTTGTACCCTGCCTGAGGTCAGGAGAGCGGGGTGGACATCGGGGCAGGCTCCGTGCTGGTCTGAAGCTCAGGGTTGGAGCCATCTAGGTTTGCTGCAAATTGCCACCCAGTGAAAGGGGCAGGATCCTGGTGTCCGGCTGTGCCCATTCAGCAGTGGCACTGGTCATCCTCCCCCAAATTACCCAGCGGGGCTGAGCCCGAAACTGAGCGAGCGGGTGGAGTGAGGTGGGCAGAGGATCAAATCCGACTGCCTGCGAAGGGGATTGCTCGCAAGTGGTGCCCTCGCCGCGGGGGCTGGAGCGAGCCAGCCTCGCCGGGGACCATTGCAGCATCCAACAGGGAAGGAATATAAGAAAGCAGAGGGCGGCTGTTTGCTTTGGGGGCTGAGGTTGCGGCGGCTGGCGTGGGCTGGGCTGTTTGGAAGACTTTCCCTCCCTAAGCCCTGGCCGTGAATCCTCCTCCAGCCCCACTCTGATCACTCGCTCGCAATCCCTTCCCTGCTACATCAGCCAGGATTTTCGCAGCAGCCAGAGGCCTGGCTCGTATCCGCGCTGGGCATGCACAGATTGTTTTCTCTGGTTGGAGCCGGACGCCCGGCTGCAAGGGTGTTGGAGCCGGACCCCTGGCTGTAAGGGCGCTGGAGTTTAAATGCATAGCTCAGGATGAGAGGCAAGTCATAACACCCACCGGCTCTGTGTTTAGCCTGCAGTTTATTTATTCCTGTCACTTCCTTTTGGTTTCTTGTGGTTTTGGGGCTCGCTCCATCCCAGGTTAGAAACGGGTGCAGTCTCACAGGGCGGAAGCCGCTGCTTGGATGACAAGGTAGCTCCAGAGCACGTGCATCTATTTTAGCCGAAATAAGGATGGAGACTTGAAAAACAACAAGTCTCCAGCCATCAGCTGCAAAACCCAGCTGGAAACTGTCCTATCTTTCAAATGTACTGTTTCTGCCTCAAATGCCTGTTATTCTAACATGGGAAATGGTTGGTGCATCTCCACGAGACATTGCCGTGCGGTCGTTCAGTACTTGTATAAAAGAGCACGTCTCCCTTAGGAGAGAGCCGTGTGCGCGATGCCTTTGCCACAGGCTGCGGGGACCCCAAACCAACACGGGTGCTGTCTCCTGCCAGCACACGGCTTAGGAACGTAGGTGGGGAAGTGGTTTCGGGCTATGGAGACTGCAGAAAACCTATTTCCTGATTGCATAAGAAACCTAGTCTCATAAGAAACCTATTTCCAGATTTCATAAGAACCAGGGGTTCCTGTGTGGGCAGGGGATCATGTAAGGTTACAGGCATGCAAAGCATGCCTCGTTAGTGCCGTGATTCTCAACCAGGGTGCTGTGAGACCCCTGGAAGGGTGCTACAACCCTATTAGCACAGTTAAGTGTGCAAAACTATCTGTGATTCACAACAGACACCCAGGGATTTCCAACAGGAATACACCACGTCCGAGCCTGCTGGGGGCTGGCTGCATTCTTTGCATCGGGAAGACTTGATCTAGCATTTTTCCGGAGTCAGAAAGGGAGTGAAAGCTCAGAGCTGACATTTTCCAAGGGGGCCTTTAGTCTCTCTGAAAGGCTTGAGAGCCACTGATCTAGTGGGTCACACCCACGAAATAGAGGATGGTTTGAGTAGGCATGATCCTGCTTCAGATGTGACCATTACAGGTCCCTTCCACCCCACTGCTCTGTGACCCTATAACTTCCATTCAGGCCCAGGTAGTCTTGTGTACTGGAGCTCAGGGAGCAGGAGGGGGCCCTGCTAGATGTGGGTGGAAAAGCCCACCCTTAGGGGAGGTGTCTTCAGGACACCAGGTCCCGTGCCACGAAACGCGAAGGGTGTTCTCCCTTATGCACCCGTGACAGCAGCCAATATCCACGCACGTGTCAAAGCTTTCCTGCGTGCTCCTGAGCACTTGGCCGTGGTGATATCCTGCGGCGATGAGTTCTGCAGGTTAATTGCTCATGAAAGCAAGAAGAAAGTGTCTCTTTTCAGTACGCCACTCACCCATGCAAACACCCTCCTGATGCCAGGGGATGGGATGTCCCGGAGAATACGACTCCCTTGCTTTTCTTGTTAGCCACCTTTGGAGACAGGAGGACAGGCTGGATCTGGGGTCCGACCCTACCATCCTTATGTTACTTGTTTTCTCCATCGGTCTGCCCAGCACCTGCTATCATAGAAAATATCCCCGGCCTCACTGAAAAGATCACTTTCTCCTCCTGCCTTTCGTCTCATGCTGCCACTGCAAACAGACCTCTTCCTCCAGGTCCAGCCCTCCCTTAGACTCATGGCGTAGACCCTGCAAGATCTCAGCCGAAAGGGAAGCAGAGATTTCTTGGTGACCTGGCAAAGCACTGAGGCAGCAAAAGAAAGGTCTTGATGCAGCAACCCAAGCCAAGCAGGGGTCCTGCGTATGCAGGTCTGGGCAATGCAATCTGCAGACAACCCCACATAGGCACAGGCCCTACTCGCTTCTCCATGGCTCTCCAAAAAGGAGCAAGGAGCCAGTCCCAGAACTGGTTGTTGTACAGCTAGACAGCGGGGAAGGGAATGGCTTTGGGTCCATCCCTACAAACACACAGCTGTCTTGGAAGCAGCCCTGTGGTGCAAGAGCTCCTGAGCAATGAAAACACAAGCAGGGGATGGGCTGTGTGCGCCATTTCCTTGGTGCACTGTGCAGCCCCGGGTATTTGGAGCGAGTCAGGACCAGCCACCAGCACCGTCACAATGATCTTCCATTGCTTGGGGCATCTCGGTAAAGGTGTCGCTGCTTTGTAAGCCAGATTTAATGTTCAGCAGCCAGTCAAGGGTTAATCGTGAGAAATTGGTGGCACCCCAGTGGCCCAGAGAGGATATAATAAGCACCGGTACCGTACTGTCTGGCATATAACATGCCCTCTGATAAAACACACACCTTGTTTTTTGGAAAGCAGACTGTAGAAAAATAAAAGATTTCTACAGAGTCATGGCCAGCTGGGTGACAGAAAGCAACACGAGCGTCTGGGGAGGATGGCATCAGGAACCTCTTGGTGTGTCTTGCAATGCCACACTTCGTGGTCACTGTGTTTGCAGGAGGACGTACTCTCTGGCACACAAGGTGAGGCCCTGGGCCCTTGCAAGGACAGCAGCATGAGTGCTAGTTCCTTACTGTAAGTAGTTCTTGACATAAATTCCTGTTTCCACATCACAAGCCTCATCCAGATGCTACCAGCAGCTCACTTGCTGCTGCAGGCCCGGTTACAGGGCTCAGCCGATAGCTACGGCTGCGAGATGGTCATAGTTTCATAGTTTCATAGTTACAGGGTCGGAAGGGACCTAATAGATCTTCTAGTCCAACCCCCCGCCAGGGCAGGAGAACAACCCCCAAAAAAAAAAAACACCCTAAAAACAAAAACGGGACTCAATGGGGCCCAGCCAGGTGGGTACCCAGCCTCTTCTTAAAGCCCCCCAGGGTAGGGGCCAGCACCACCTCCCTTGGAAGTTGGTTCCAGCTCCTAGCCGCCCTAACTGTGAAGTAGTTTTTTCGGATGTCCAATCTGTACCTCCTCTCCATCAACTTGTGCCCATTACTCCTTGTTATGCCAGCGGGGGCTCGGGGAAACAGCGTCTCCCCCAAACCCTTCTGGTTCCCCCTAGTGAGTTTATAGACGGTCACCAGGTCCCCCCTCAGCCTTCTCTTGTGGAGGCTGAATAGGTTCAGGTCCCGCAGTCTCTCACTGTAGGGTCTGCCCTGTTGTCCCCGGATCATGCGGGTGGCCCTCCTCTGGACCCTCTCAATGTTGTCCACATCCCTCCTGAAATGGGGCGCACAGAACTGGACACAATACTCCAGCTGCGGCCTGACCAGCGTCGCATAGAGGGGGAGGATCACCTCCCTGGCTCTACTCGAGATGCACCTGTGGATGCACGACAAGGTCCGGTTAGCCCTGCCAACCATGACCTCGCATTGTCGGCCCATGTTCATCTTGGAGTCAATAATGACACCAAGATCCCTTTCCGCCTCCGTGCTCTCAAGTAGGGAGTTCCCCATCGTATAAGTCAACACAGGATGCTGCCCCTTCAGTTTGCTGAGCAGACGCAAGCACTGTGTCTCCAGGCGTGCTCCTTTTCCAGCAGAAACAACACATGCCCCGTCATTTGTGGAGGGGCTGATTTTGGGGCGGGAAGGTGCATGTTGTATGCAAGAAGCAGTATTGCTGTAGGCTAAAGCAACCCCCAGGTAAGGCCAGCCAGAGGATGTAGTGCCCTCAGCAGCTGATACCGGAGCAAAAGCATGGCCTTCTACTTCCCCAGCCCTGCAGGCAACCCCAATCGCTCGGTTGAAGGCACCGTCACCTCGCGTTGTTCCAACCCAGCGGCATTACCACAGTCCCACCCGTGTCCCACCCATGTCCCACTCATTAATCTCTCAGACAGTCCCATAAGAAATGGGATGGGGGACACGCCTGCATCCCTGTTGCTGTGATAATCTTTGAGTCCTATAGGGAGGGAGCTCCGGGGGTCACATCTAGTCCAAGCCCTGCCTGACCCTGTCTAAACCACCCCAGATGCAACCCCATGTCTGACCTCTTAGCAAAACTACTGTCACCCCTGACCCTGCCAGGGGGACCACGGCAGCCAACGCACTACTTCTGTAAATGTTGTTAATATGCACTGCAGAGAGCCCAGGCAGAGGCCGTGCCCCTGCTACAGAGGAAGGCAAAATCCCCCAGTCCGTACCAGTCTGACCAGGGAGGAAAATCCCTTCCTGGCCCCAAATGCAGCATCCGTCTGACCCTGAGCAGAGGGTCAAGACCCTCTAGCCTGGACCCTGCGGGGTTG